TAGAAAGGATCTTGAGAGTCCCATGGACTGCAAGAAGATCAAACCTATCCATTGTTCACTGGAGTGCTCACTGGAAAGACAGATCCTGAAGCTGAGACTCCAATATTTGGCCACCTCACGAGAAGAGAAGACTCTCTGGAAAAGACCCTGATGTTGGGAAAGATGGAGGGTACAAGGAGAAGGGGACGACAGAGGACGAGATGGTTGGATAGTGTTCTCGAAGCTACCAGCATGAGTTTGACCAAGCTGTGGGAGGCAGTGGAAGACAGGAGTGCCTGGTGTGCTCTGGTCCATGGGGTCACGAAGAGTCGGACACGACTAAACGACTAAACAACAACAACCTCTCACCACCCAGGCCTGGTTTTTGTGGAGCAGAAATATTTTGGAACCCTTCCCTGGCAATAACCAGGGGAACCACTTTAGGAGACTGGAACTGGGGAGAAAAAGCAGCCAAGCTTCACCTGCGTTTTAGATTGCATGTGCTTATTCTTCATCTGCACACCTGTGCCGTTGGTTATTATGACACAAATAACGCAGCTGCAATAAATGCTCTTTGCAGAGTAATATAGTGCTTTTTTAAGGAAAAACAGTTTAGGCTGGTGTCCAACTAAACAGTTCCACTAGCACACAAGGACGTTTAGCGCTGCAGTGAAACTTCCTCACCCTCTCCTCTCTCTGCATGTCTTGTAAATCTGTCCTGGGTGGTTGAAGGAATGCCTAGAACACATTTAGGGAGTCACACAGAGAAAGGAAAGGGCTGGGAAGTTCCAATGTGGAGCTTAGTGTCCTAGAGCAAGTAGAAATCTTTAGTTGGATAATCTCCCACTACCACTAATCTTTTATGCTGAAAAAATGTTCTCCATTATTTGCATTTAAAATGTAATCTGCCATCACATCCTTTTTTTAATTAACGCATCAATATAAACACTAAATATGGTGTTTCCTCTTCCTAAAACTCCTGTTTTCCCTGCACTGGACTTATAACAGTTATATCTCATGTCAGACAGGTACCAAAGTGCTCAACCCCCCCAAAAAACCACACATTTGAACCCTTCAAATATTGAAGTCTAATGTTCAGTAATCCTCAAAGCTATTGTCAGTATGCTCTTTCTCTCCATATCATCTGAATCAGGAGAAGTTATGCAGCTGCTACATCCATGTCTGGAGACACTAGTGGTTTAGAGCAGGGGTCAGCAAACTTTTTCAGCAGGGGGCCGGTCCACTGTCCCTCAGACTATTTTTTTTGGGGGGGGGGAATGAACAAATTCCTATGCCCCACAAATAACCCAGAGATGCATTTTAAATAAAAGGACACATTCTACTCATGTGAACACACTATATTTAATTATGGATCCTGTTCTACATTCCAGAAGACCTCTCACTCTCAGAAATTCATTGACTCTACACTACATCCGGTCCCTCAGCAAAAGAAATGTTATAAACCAATAATTTTTCGGAGGGTGTGGGATGTGGAGGTGGTAACTCCAAAGTTTGCCTTGTTTTTATGTTTCTGCTAAAAAAAAGTGGGTCTCAATGGGTATGATCTTACAGAAGCCAACTCAAGGAACTCCTGAAACAAAACCCAAATGGCACTCCCTGGTGGCAGTAATATAATACTAAAATCAAGTAACTGAAAATGTGCTGCTTCAGCAGGCCATGAGAATATGCCTCTTCAGGCGAGCCTCACCAATCTAATTAGTTTGGGGGCTGATCTGTGGGGCTGATCGCAATGTAACTCTATTAATATCAGAGTTTTAAAATGCAAAACCTGAAAAGATAAAAGAATACCATCTCACAGTCAATGAGAGGCAGGGAAGAGAAAAAGAAATGAAAAAGAAGGGTGTTAAACAGCTCATTGAATATATATATATATATATATATATATATATATACACACACATATCACTGTTTGAGTCACCATCAGCAAAGCAGAGTGCCAGATGTTGGGATTCTGGAATGCACCTGGAGAAATAAATGCAGCAGCTGCCAGTTGGGAAGGAGCACAAAGAAGTGCTCTGACTGTGGCACACTCACCACAGAAATTCACCCCACATCAGAAGCCTTTTAAAAAATGTTTTATGTATTTTAAATGGATTTCAAAATTCAGTGGTACCTCGGGTTACAGATGCTTCAGGTTACAGACTCTGCTAACCCAGAAATAGTACCTCTGGTTAAGAACTTTGCTTCAGGATGAGAACAGAAATCGCACAGCGGTGGCGGCGGCACAGTGGCAGCGGGTGGCCCCATTAGCTAAAGTGGCACCTCAGGTTAAGAACAGTTTCAGGTTAAGAACGAACCTCCAGAACGAATTAAGTTCTTAACCCGAGGTACCACTGTATCTTTTTACCCTCACAATGCCTGACTTTTAAGTGAACAGAAGTGCTTTAGTGGCTGGATTTGATAACCGTCAAATCCAGCTCAAACGGCTCTGCGGTTGCGGTGCTCATCTCACTTTACTGGCCGAGGGAGCCGACGTTTGTCCACAGACAGTTTTTCTGAGTCATGTGGCCAGCATGACTAAGCTGCTTCTGGCGAAACCAGAGCAGTGCACGGAAATGCCATTTGCCTCCCCGCCAGAGTGGTACCTATTTATCTACTTGCACTTTTGGGGAGTGCTTTCCTTTCAAACTGCTAGGTTGGCAGGAGCTGGGATTGAGCAACGGGAGCTCACCCCGTCATGGGGATTTGAACTGCCGACCTTCTGATCGGCAAGCCCAAGAGACTCAGTGGTTTAGGCCACAGCGCCACCTGTATCAGCATTATACCTCCACAACTACAACCCCTTGTGGCGACAAATCAACAAAGACCTGAAGAGATGGAACAACACCAACTTCACTTTCTCAGACAAAATAGCCATGATTAAAATGATCACCCTCCCCAAATTAACCTACCTATTCCAAACCCTCCCAATCTGGGTTCCCCCAGCCCAAGTTCGCAAATGGCAGAAAAAATTTATACACATTTATATTCTCACACACAAAAAAAACCAAGAATAAACCCCAAATACCTGCATCTCCCCTCCTCAGAAGGAGGATGGGGAATCCCCAACATAGAATCTTATTCATAGAAATATAAGGAAAATGTATGTAGTTCCTAGTTCTCTATCCAATTGCTCAGTAAAGATGTACAGTGGTGCCCCGCAAGACGAATGCGTCGCAAGATGGAAAACCCGCTAGACGAAAGGGTTTTCCGTTTTTGAGTTGCTTCGCAGGACGAATTTTCCTATGGGCTTGCTTCGCAAGACGAAAATGTCTTGCGAGTCTTGAGATTTTTTTCCGCTTCCCCCCCCCCTTTATCTAAGCCGCTAAGCCTTTAATAGCCTTTTAGCAGCTAATCCGCTAAGCCGATAAGCCTTTAATAGCCGCTAAACCGCTAATAGCGCTAATCCGCTAAGCCGCTAATAGGGTTGCTTCGCAAGACGAAAAAACCGCTAGACGAAGACACTCGCGGAACGGATTAATTTCGTCTTGCGAGGCACCACTGTACATGGGTTCTGAGTTTTCGATGCTCCAGAGAAGGTATGCGGAGAAAAAAGGATGAATGACAGGCAATTTGGCACCTGCCGTGACTTTCACAATTCAAGTGCAGAGTGGTTTTGGTAAAGTTATTTAATGCGTAACTTTCCTTTCCACAGAGCAGACTGCCAGTATTTTTTATTTCCCCCCGCCCTCCCCGTTTCATTTTGAAATCCGGTGGGCCCACCATAGATCCTACAACAACAACACCACTTTTGTGTACGAGCCTCAGCCTGAGCTGAGAGGTACAAGGGCAATAAGAAATGTCTAGGTTTTGCTTTGGTATCACATGCTGCGTTGAAAGGCATTAAAGTTTCATGCGCTCACATATAAACTGGCATTTGCAATACATTTCCCCCAGCAATTATCTATACACACTGAAAACAGCCTGTGAGGTTCCAGCTCCATGACAGCTCACAATATACATACTATGTGGCTGTATTAAAGAGCACTATGTTGTTCTCTTAATATATGCAACTCAATTGCAACACATTTTTTCACACCCTCTGGGAGAGAAATGCCACTCTGGGGCTGATTCAATTATTTCTTCTTCTTTTTTTTTAAAAAAAGAAGAAGATAGGGATAACTCAAATATATTTAACAAGACTTAAGGTTGTAAAGAAACTCTCTCATATGGAACATTTTAATTAGGTCCATCGATAGAAAGAAAAATGAAAAGAAATGAAGAAGTTACTAGAAAGGAAGGAAGGAAGGGAAAGGGAGGCGAATGTGGTTCAGTTTACCAAGGAAGATGTTTGTTTGTTTAGAATTGAAAGTTGTTTTGAATGGTTTTAAATGGTGTCTTTAATGTCCTTACCAAATCTGGGAACTTCGGATGAAGAGTGGGTAATAAATATAAGAACAATAGAATCTTAGAGTTAGAAGGAACCCAGAGGTCATCTAATCCAGCCCCCTGCATTAATAGTAGTAGTCAGTGTTGGTTTTTTCCTGGGGGGACGCAGGGCTATACATACCCCTAAACATTTTGTGAATCTAAGTTTGGCCTCATTGAGGGGCAGTATTTCAATATGAGTAGGAAAATTTTATATAATAATAATAATAATAATAATAATAATAATAATTTATCATTTATACCCCGCCCATCTGGTTGGGTTTCCCCAACCACTCTGGGCGGCTTCCAACCGAATATTAAAAACAATTCAGCATCAGACATAAAAAACTTCCCTAAACAGGGCCGCCTTCAGTTGTCTTTTAAAAGTAAAATAGTTGTTTATTGCCTTGACGTCTTCTGGGAGGGTGTTCCACAGGGCAGGTGCCACTACCGAGAAGGCCCTCTGCCTGATTCCCTGTAACCTCACTTCTTGCAGCGAGGGAACCGCCAGAAGGCCCTCAGCTCTGGAGCTCTGGCTGGATGATGAGGGTGGAGAAGCTCCTTCAGATAGATAGATAGATAGATAGATACATAGATGAGAGACCGCTTAATCAAAAAATCAAAAATAGTAATGTCCTAAGCCAGGCATGGCCAAACTTGGCCCTCCAGCTGTTTTGGGACTACAACTCACATCATCTCTGACCACTGGTCCTGTTAGCCAGAGATGATGGGAGTTGTAGTCCCAAAACAGCTGGAGGGCCAAGTTTGGCCATGCCTGCAGTCTAAGCAGTGCTTATTATAAAATTACCAATAAAGAATCATTTATTTAAAATTATCAATAAAACACAGATACACTAGCAAACTGTTAAGAAGTGCACATAGAATAATTGTTACTCTAATGCAAGTAAAAAGAGTAATATACATAACAGCACCATATGCCTCAGTTTTCCGCATTCTGCATGAATTGCAAACTTCTTGATCAACTGCCAGGGAAGCCCCACATGAAATGGGGTACTGGGCTACCATGGTCAATCTATCATAGTCCAGGAATGGTCACAGCTGTTATGCCAGCCAAACCCAGCCAGATGGGCAGGGTATAAATAAATTATTATTATTATTATTATTATTATTAACCTGGAAAAATGTGGTTTCAGTGACAAAGCTGGCTCCAGGAGTGCCATAGGGTACATACCAGCTCCTTCGAGGGAGTGCACCTCTGTTCAGGATTGGCAACTGGCCAGTTTTAGGACAGAAGAACCACTGAACCACAGAGTCTCCATCTTGCCATGACTCAAGCTCATCTTAGCATTGTAGAGTTGGAAGGGACCCCAAGGGTCATCTAGTCCAACCCCCTGCAATGCAGGAATCTCAGCTAAAGCATCCATGACCGATGGCCATCCAACCTCTGCTTAAAAACCTCCAAGGAAGGAGGAGGAGTCCACAACCTCCCAAGGGAGACTGTTCCACTGTCAAACAGTTCTTACTGTCAGAATTTTTTTCTGTATGTTTAGTCAGAATCTCTTTTCTTGCAACTTGAGGCCACGGGTTCGAGTCCTACCCTCCAGAGCAAGAGAAAACAAGCTTGCTCTCTCTTCCATGTGAACAGCCCTTAAGATATTTCAACTCTGCATCCCCAAATGGAAACCAGAGTTGGAGGTCATACATTTTCTATTACTGGGGAATGATCAGGAGCTCACCAAGTTAGTGGCTAAATATCTCTATTTGGTTTTTTTGTCGTCGAAACACACTGCTGACGTCTGATCTCCCTGGAGACCAAGAGATGTGACGATAGACTGCTCTGCCTCCTTTCTTTTAGCAAATGTTTTGTGCCACTGGGGAAGTGGTAATTCTGTATTGATTTGTTTTGGAAGTTTGTATGTGATGCCACTAAAAGGTTGGATGATGTTGATAATGATGATGATGATATTTGAAGATTGCTATCATTTCTCCTTGTCTATGCATTTGTCCATTGAGTTTTCTTGGCAGGGATACTGGAGTGGCTTGCCGGTTCCTGCTCCAGGTGGATCACGTTTGGTCAAAACTCTCCACTATGACCTGTCCATCTTGGGTGGCCCTGCACAGCATAGCTCATAGCTTCTCTGAGTTATTCAAGCCCCTTCGTCACGGCAAGGCAGTGATCCATGAAGGGAGAAAAGCAATGGCAAACCTAGACAGCATCTTAAAAAGCAGAGACATCACCTTGCCAACAAAGGTCCGTATAGTTAAAGCTCTGGTTTTCCCAGTAGTGATGTATGGAAATGAGAGCAGGACCATAAAGAAGGCTGATCGCCGAAGAATTGATGCTTTTGAATTATGGTGCTGGAGGAGACTCTTGAGAGTACCATGGACTGCAAGAAGATCCAACCTCTCCATTCTGAAGGAAACCAGCCCTGAGTGCTCACTGGAAGGACAGATCCTGAAGCTGAGGCTCCAATACTTTGGCCACCTCATGAGAAGAGAAGACTCCCTGGAAAGACCCTGATGTTGGGAAAGATGGAGGGCACAAGGAGAAGGGGACGACAGAGGACAAGATGGTTGGACAGTGTTCTTGAAGCTACCAGCATGAGTTTGACCCAACTGCAGGAGGCAGTGGAAGACAGGAGTGCCTGGCATGCTCTGGTCCATGGGGTCATGAAGAGTCAGAGACAACTAAACAACTAAACAACAACAACAACAATCATTTCTCCTAATTTTCCCTCATTCCTGAACCCAGATATAAACAGGTCTAGGTAATTCATATGCTCTTTGAATGCTTGCAGTTTCCCTGCCATCTTCCCGAAACAGGGGGTGTCTGTAGCTGGTTGGTAGTTAGTGCTAACCAAAGGGTTCAGAGGCAATGAAGCATTAAGCATCCTCTGGACCCAACCAGTCAAACCTACTTTACTGGGTTCAGTAAGACAAGAGAGGCAGCAATCGAGGGCACATGGGTACAGAGATGTAACAACCTTATTCCCATCATTAGACTACACAAGTTATCCCAGAACACATGCAATGGCATTGGGCACATTGGCTGGGACTGCAACTACAGTCATACCTCGGGTTACAGATGCGTCAGGTTGCATTTTTTTGGGTTACGGACCCACTGAAACCTGGAAGTACTGGAACGGGTTACTTCCAGGTTTCAGGGGTCGTGTATGTGCAGAAGCGCTAAATTGTGCTTTGCGCATGCGCAGAAGCGCTGAATCGCAACCCGCGGATGTGCAGATGCGCCGCTGCTGGTTCCGAACGTGCATCCCACACAGATCACGTTCGCTACCTGAGCGTCCACTGTACTGCATAATCAATGCCCCCATGGAACCAAGCAACTTTATCCTCAAAATGTGCAGCCAGTTGGTCAGAATAGGTCTCAGGGGGCTCCAGGGGACCTTTCCACCCAAGGGAGCCACTCGTTTCTGGACCACCAAAAAGAGCTCCATCAGTTGGTTGCTTCAGTATGCAACACAGGCTGAGGCTGGCATCTTCATTGTCACCTGCACTGAGACATAGTAGGCGCAAATATAAGCACTAGCCAGTGTTCGGTCAATTTCAGAGAAAGTCTAGTCTTCATCTAGATGTTCACCCATAAATTCCGATTTCTGCCAAGGCAAGCGGGTGGAGGGCATGGTGCGTATCAAAAGGGTGAGCCTATAAATCGCGAGTGGAACATGTTAGGACGTATTGCAGATAAGACGGCGCAGGATATTGCTGTAGCAAATTGCACAAGTGATGTTCCGTGTGGGATTTCTGTGCTATATTTCACCCGCCAAGCTGCCGGAAAGAAGCAGAAACACCAGATTGTCGTGGGAACAAAATTGCTTTTGATACATTGCAACTCGCACTATCCATTCCTGGAACTTTGTGAGCTTCTGCAGAGCAGACCAGCATGCACACAGAGTTTGACAATTTGAACGTAACGCCTGCAATTCATCCAGACCTCTAGCAAGTATTGGCCTGCCATGATACTGCTTTTATTACCTCCTCGAACACTCGTTTAAGACTTCCCCTTACACCCAGAAATTCTCCATAGGGCTGCGTAGGGCACTGGTGACTATTAACCTAACATGCATCACACAGATAAGAACAATGGCCAGTGATCTGTCAATTCCAGCATCCCATTCTCACAGTGGTGTCCCAGGTGCCTATGGGAAGCCTGAATGCAATAACACATGGGATGTCCAGTAACTGGCATTCAGAAACATTGCCTCTGACAGTGGATTTGTCTAATCTACTTTCAAAACCACCCAAATGGTGGCCATCATTACTTCTTGTGAGAGCAAATGCCATAATCTTCTATGTGTGGGAAAGTACTTTCTTTTGTTTGTCCTGACTCTTCCAATACTCACCTTCATTGGTTGTCTCCCAGTTCAAGTGTTATGAGAGAGGAAGAAAAACTTTCTTCAAACCATGCATAATTTTATACATCTCTATCTTGAATTATGGTGCTGGAGGAGACTCTTGAGAGTCCCATGGACTGCAAGAAGATCAAACCGATCCATTCTGAAGGAAATCAGCCCTGAGTGCTCACTGGAAGGACAGATCCTGAAGCTGAGGCTCCAATACTTTGGCCACCTCATGAGAAGAGAAGACTCCCTGGAAAAGACCCTGATGTTGGGAAAGATGGAGAGCACAAGGAGAAGGGGACGACAGAGGACGAGATGGTTGGATAGTGTTCTCGAAGCTACCAGCATGAGTTTGACCGAACTGCGGGAGGCAGTGGAAGACAGGAGTGCCTGGCGTGCTCTGGTCCATGGGGTCACGAAGAGTTGGACACGACTAAATGACTAAACAACAACAACAACATCTTGTCTCCTCTCACTCGCCTTTTCTTTATACTAGAAATACCACAATGTTGTAGCCTTTTCTCACGGGAGAGTTGTTCCATTCTCATACACACACACACACACACACACACACACACACACACACATATACTTTTCAAGTTTATACATTTGACTAATTGTATGTTGTTGTTGCTGTTGTTTTGGATGTTGGCAAGGTGATGTCTCTGCTTTGCACTAATTGTATACATTTCACTAATTTTACAATCATTCTGACATTTCAAAACTTGACTTCCTTCCCCCTCTTTCCATGGTTCCTTAAATTTATTTTCAATATCTTCTGCATATCCAAATTAACCTCATTTGCTCATTTATTCATCTTCTTTAAATATATACTCTTATGAAACTGCAGGCCATTACAATAATCCTGCCAATGTTTTTATCTGCTTACAGTTTATCTGTAAATATTCAATAAACCATTTCCATTCCTTTAAATGTATAAAAGAATGTTATCTTGATTTCTTATTCTTCTGGTAAGTTTCGCCATTTCTGCATATCCCATAAATTTTGGTATCCATTCTTCCTTTGCTGGGACTTCTGCTTCTTTCCATTTCGGAGCAAGTAACATTCTTGCCGTGAATTGCTCCATTCCCTTAATCCAGGCATAGGCAAACTCAGCCCTCCAGATGTTTTGGGACTACAACTTCCACAATCCCTAGCTAATTGGACCAGTGGTCAGGGATGATGGGAACTGTAGTCCCAAAACATCTGGAGGGCTGAGTTTGCCTATGCCTGCAATCATTTTGTCTGCCCTTTTCTGAATCCTGTCCAGCTCTACAATAACCTCCTGGAAGTGATGTGACCAGTATTCCAACTGCAGTCACATCATAGATCTGCATATCAGCATTATTCACCCTACCATGGGAACCATGTTTTTCCACAAATGTTGCATATTTGGCTGACTTTTTCACCAAGCTCCGGAAACAGCATTATGGGAATTTTGCATGGTT